AATCAATGTTTAAACTTGATTCAAAAATATTGAACCAAGGAACCAACACAATTGCTGACAATATGTTGACCCCGTGATTACAAGACTCAACAATCTCACTCGATTTGTTCGAACGCCACAAAAAAATAATCTTGATAAGTTTAGAATTAATTGAATGAAAAACAAGAAGAAAGCAATAATCTCTCAATAATTGTATATTTTACAATGAATACAATGCGATCTATTTATAGGGAACTCATAAAATCTAACTAGAAAAGGAATTAATATTCATAATATAAAAAATTACCATAAAACTAAAGTTTTAAATAAAATAAGATTCTTTTCAAAAATTGAAAAATTCGATGCCAAACTTGTACTATGTGACTGTATAGTGTTGGAGCATGTGGTCGCATGGTTTAAAAAAATTGCCTCATTTGAGTCTCAGTATGACCGCATGCCTAGGGTAACTATGCAGTCACATAGTTACTTTTTCCAGCTTTCTCGTCCGCTACTTGAACCAAGTTGATCTGTCTTTTTTTCTTCTAAACCCAATACGAATTTTGTTCATTTACTTGTTGTGATCAATGTTTTCGTCCACCGTAGCTAGAGCAAACAATCCCATAATCTCCTTGACTCGCTTCGTTCACGACCTAGTCATCGGTCCTCCTTCAACGATCAACTGATCCTTATTTGGACTTGCTCTCATATCATGGATCACATCAGTATCTTAATAAATCTTCACTTGTGTCTTCTTTTCTTTGCCCAAAAATCAAGTCCGAAACTTCACTTGATTGAATTCTTGCAAGTCTCCTTCAATCCTCTCACAAAAAACAATAAATTTTCCTCATTTGATGATAATAATTGATGAATATTGGAGTATGCGATGTATGTGAGAGATCTCTAATGTGTATATCGCTGTTAGGTATTTGTAGGAGTAGAAAATAGTTGAAAATCACGTTCAAATTGGTTTCCAAAAGAGTTTCAATCGAATAAGGAAAGTTGCATTCACGCGCAAATTTTTTTGTCTCTATACAGTAGTTAATATTTTAGCCATAACTTTCTCTCATGATATCCAATTGATGCTATTCAAAATGTGTTGACAATCTAATTCGAAGGGATACAGCTCTATAAGAAATTAAATTTTTCCAATTCAGATGTTTACTATGCCAAAAATGAGTTTCAATCTTTGAATAAAAATCTAGAATATAATTTGTGCGATTAAAAATTGATTTTGATCATATTTCATTCCTTTTTGAGTTCTAATTCTATTCAATTGTCTCCTAATACTCTTTATAGTATCGTCTTGTGGTTCGAATTAACTATTGAATATTTACAATTTGGTCATCAAACTTTAAAATTTGTCATTTTTCCTTGATTTTCTTTTGTTTCTTCCAATTTCTTGTTCAACTATTGGGTTTTACCTATATAATATAAAATACAAAAAATTAGGATATATTTTGTTAAAAGAATTACCAAATATCGATATTTTAGGCCTCGAATAAGTGTATAAAATACACTTCACATTTGATCAAATTTTAAAATAGCAAAATGGTAACATTACATTTTCCTACCTAAAACAATAAAAAGAAATAATGGAAAAGAAAGAAATAAAAATTAAGAAAAAAATTCATCTTCACCCACCCGACCTTCATTCTAATCCATTTCCGCTTGTTCTTTCTTCTCATTTTCCATCTCTCTTTCTCTCTCTACCTTCTCTTCCTCCTGCCCTCTTTCCCTCTCCTAGTTTCTATAAAAAATCTTCTCTAAAGCAATATAGGTGGAACTCTGTTTAGTAGATGTTGCGATAACAAAAATAGATATTGTTAAGATGATTGTCTAGATGTAGTTGCTCTGTTGGACGTAATCGTGTGATAAAATTTGAACTTATCTTTCTTTTTCCCATTTCTTATTTTTCTCTCTTATTCAATGTACAATAAAGATGAAATTTGAATTATGAATAATGATATCTATCATCTCATATGAAATTGTAATGAGATAAAGTTCGATGTTCTCATTGACGAGAATGGTGTTCCGGCTGCTCCAATCAGTGTTTGCTACTGCAAAATGAGGTCGGTGCTTTCTCCTCCGTTGTACCTCCAGTGTAAGAATTAGTATTCAGTT